GATAAATGCTTCAGCTTAGCTCATTTCCTATATTGGGCCAGGCCTTCTGCTCGGTGCAAAAATTACAAAGATAAACAGTTTCAATGCTTGAGGAGCTCCAAGCCTAGAGGAGCTCAGACAAATAAGCAAAGTCTCAATTGAGGGCAACGAGTGTGATGATAGAGACAAAAGAGTGGTCCTAGAAGCCAGAGTGGGCATCTAAGTCAGACAGCAGAATGTTCTCCAGGAAGGTGGTCCCAGGCTGAGTATGAAGGATGAGTAACAGTGAGCCTGGCAGACAGCTTGGCTGGGTGGGGATGGTGTTCCTGCAGGCCCCCTTCCATCCCCTGCGGGAGTAAGGCACAGCTGGTTCCCAGTTGTCCTGCAGCAGCCCTCAGAGCACCACAGCATCTGGTGCACTGGTGAGCTCACACACTCCGGAGCTGCCTCCGTCCAGCCCGGGGGCTCCTCACTCGCCAGGGGAGCCCCAGGCCCCTTCTGAGTCCCTTACCCATCAGCTTCCCATCTGCCCAGGACTCCAGGGCTGCTTACCTGCCCCTACCCTTGATGGTTCTGCCTCTACCCTCCACCCAAGTGCTCAGCCTCCAGCCCTGGAGCAAGGCTTGAATGCCGAGCTGGGACCCTGTCCCGCTCATGCCCATGTGAGCCAAGCTTCCGGGCCTTTCCGAGGTTGGAAAGTGAGTCAAGGCTGGGAATCAGACAAGTGAGGGGGCTTTACCAATGAGCATGGGTGCAGTGACCAGTGTCTGAGGCTCTGCCAACGTGCTGCCTGGACAGGGCTGTGGCCACCTTGAAAGAGGAGATGGGACCCAGAGTTCGTCCAGGCCTTTGCTTGCTGGTCCTTCTCTGAGATAACCCCTGGAATCTTCTCCTCCTCTTTGTTTCTTTTTATTCAAGCTGGAATTTATTGGGTCTCCCCTCCCTCTGAAGGAAACTTCCACCTTCCTCCCTCGCCCTGGTTCAGCTATCCCCGAGCATCCTCTAGTCCAGCTGTGTGCCTGGCCAGAGGCCCTCCATGAGGACATGGCATTTGTGTGTATCTCACTAATGGACGCAGCCAGTCATGGAAAAGCTAGGGGAAGAGTGAGGAAGAAAAAAGTGCAAATTAGGACAAAAAGACATGCCCCTCTCTACCCCCCGCAGCAGAGAGAAGACCCAGGAGTTCCCAGCCTGTTCCATGGTGGAAAAGTCAGTGTGACCTCAGACACCAGCCCAGTGTCTGGACTGATGCGGTCTCAGAGAAGGACAGTGTAGCATACATGACAAAGCTGAAGCCACTGTTCTTTCCTCTTTCCGCTGGCCCTTCTAGCACAGGGCCCTTGACTTCTCTGAAGCTTGGTTTATTTCACTGTAAAATAGGGGAGGAAAATGACCAATAACACAGGAGTTGTGAGACTACAATAAAACCAGGGACCCAAAGGCCTGGCTGGTCTCTCTGCCTGGCCTGCTTGGCTGTGAGTTGGCAGAGGTCACACCTGCCTCTTTGAATCCAGACTCTGTGCCTTGCCAGCTCTGTGTCCTAGACCAGGTTACTTAACATCGCTGAATGCCTCCAGAGTTAGTGATGAAATTCCATATCTACACCTCTTAGGAGCCCCATGAAAAGTAAGTAAGTTCATGGCTATCAATGGCAGCTAAAAGCCTCTGTATGCAGCAGCTGATCAAGAGGCGATTATCATAATTAGTAATAATTAGTAACTAGAGATGAATGACTTAAGATGCAGGACTTTTTATTTCGATTTTTCTGCCTTTTTGCCACGGCTCTTCTCACTTAGTTCAACAGCATGTATTAACACCTAATTTGTTCCTGGTTCTCTACAAGACTGTAGTTTGAAGCCAATCACTCATTACCCTTTGAAGGATGAGTTATAAATACATTGGGTCATCAAAAAGAGGAAGGCGCACACCTGGGTAGTCAAGAACATGTAAATTCGGCCAGAGGAGACTTTAGGGCCCAGAGCCCACCCAGCACCATAGTCTCCCCTCTTGGTTCTGTATAAGAACTCTGGGCATCCAGGTCAAGAACCGCAGGCCAGCTGGCTCCCCATTCCAACTGCCCCGGGAAAACCCCAGGGTCTGAGTGTACTCAGGGAGGTCACAAAGGCAGACAGCCTCACACTCTAGGGAAGAGGGAAGTGGCCCCTGGTGGGGAGGGTCCAGGGCTTGGTTCCAGCAGGTGTGATGCTTCCCCTCTGTAGACTGCAGGGTCTAGAACTTGGAGGGCCCAGAAGGAATGAGCAGGTGCATCCTGACTGTGCAGCATATAAGCTGGATGACCTTGGATGCATTGTTGAACCCCTCAACCCCAGTTTTCTCATCTGTACAATGGGATGCTCTTGATCATTAGAGAAAATGCAGGAAGTCATGTGATACATCATAGATACTCAACAGAAGTCAGGTTCTTTTTCTGTTTCCTCTTGGTAGTATTATCACTTCCGTTTCATACCCCAAGTGCTTAGAAAGCTCCCAGCACAAGGAGTGCTCAGAGGAATAAAGGAAAACTCAGACTTCACCATATCAGACAGAATTCTCATGTTGGCACAGAACTCACTGTGGGGTATGGGAGATTGAATAATGGCCTTGCAAACATAGCCATGCTCTGGTACCGGGACTCCATGAATAGATTGTTATATGCCAAAAGGGGCTATGAAGATATGATTAAGGATAGGGGCTCTAATATAGGAAGATTTCTAGAGTATCTAGTTGGGGTAGAGGCCAATCTAGTCACCTGATCCCTTAAAAACAGAACTTTCTCTAGCCAGGGGCAGTAGAGATGCTGCAGAAAGAGAGGGCATGGAGATCCCAGGCATGAGAAGGAGTCAATGTCTCTGAGATGCAGTGCATACAAGGACCAGACGGAGGCCTCTGGAGCTAAGGGTGTCCCCTCAGCTGACAGCCAGCAAGGACTTCAGCCCTACAACCACAAGCATCTAGGATCTTACAAACAACCAGGAGACACTTGGAAGTGAAGTCCTCTCCAGTGCCTCCAGTAAGAAATGCAGCCCTGATGACATCTTGACTTTAACCTACGGTGACTGTGGCAAACCTTTGACCTACAGAGACAGTGATAAAATAAATCTGTATTGTTTTAAGCCGATTTGCTATGCCAGCAATAGAAGACCAATACACAGTGCCTACAGGTCGTGAAGAAGTTAGAAACTAAACTCTTTGGCGACCATATACATTTACCAAGCATATTGGAAGTACAGCCACTGCTACCATTTGTGCTGTTTGCTGAGATCCAGGCCCCATGCTTGTGGCTCCCACAGCCTTCTCCTCCTAAAAACATCATATCACCCTTCAAGATAGCTTATTGTATGGCTACCAAGGCCCATGGACCATCAGACCTTGGGCCCCTAGGGTACCAGACAGGATAAATTAAGGCCAAGATCTTTTGGCTGGGAGAATCTTAGCGGAATTTTATTGGAACTAAACATATCCTATACAATAGGAATCAAGTAATGTTCCAAACAAAGTAATTTTTCCCTAAAGATTTCACAAGCCCCGTGATGCACTAACGTCCTGAAATCCTTCTTACTGATGGCACTCCTTCCAACTCTGTAACACCTTGCATCTGTTTGATGGGTCATGCAGACAGGTGGGGATTTATGGGTGGCAGAAGGGTAGAGACAGGGATCAGGCAGAGAAAACTTTGCTGGGAAGACAGCTTATTGTTACTTCCACCTTGAACTTTGATATTTTAAGTAGATCATGCCCAACACACCGGGGCAAAACTCCTTTAGTTGTGGTCTCTCGTGCCACTAAGGTAAAAGTCACCAACCATTTTCCTCTCTTCTCACCCCTTTTCTTGCTCGCAGGGGCTGAAACTGGTTCAAAGGTTTGGGTGCATAATGGTTTAAAACAAGACCCAGCAAACTCAGTCAGTTGGACCAGAAAGACCCAGAAACACTGTCTGGTCTTTCAGTGACCTCCCTTTTTATTAATAAAGATCTCCAGGTGCCTGGGAGAGAAGGTAGACTAGCTGTCCCTCTCTGAGATTCCTTCTAGTTTTAACATTAGATGTGTGTGTGTGTGTGTGTGTGTGTGTGTGCATGTGTGTTAGTCAGTCATGTCTGACTCTTTGCAACCCCATGAACTGTAGTCTCCTCTGTCAATAGGATTCTCCAGGCAAGAATACTGGAGTTAGTTTCTGTTCCCTTCTCCAGAGGATCTTCCTCACCCAGGGATCGAACTTGGGTCTCCTGAATAGCAGGCAGATGCTTTACCATCTGAGCCATGAAGGAAACCCCTAACATTAGATACCTGGCCTGACTTAATCATTACTTCCATCCCCCTTTAACTGATGAGAAAGGAAGTTTGCGGGGTTTATGTAAGGTGCCATAGGTTCCAGAAATGTCCAGAAGGAGCTGCTGTGAGACACAAAAGATTATTTGTCATGTTTTCCAGCAAACAGTAACCCTGACCAAGGCCGAGCTCTGCCAGGATCATACATGAAATTCCTCATTTCCTTCTCATGCAAATCGAGCAGTGGAAAACCCATTTCACCAAAATCCAGAGGAGTGAGAAATCGTGCCCAAGGCCACACTCAGTAAGAGGGACTTGGACCTAGAAGTCTGGCATGAGGGCTCAAGCTGTGAATGTCTGCACCGGCAGCCTCCCTGTGACAGGAGGAGAGGGGACTTTGCAGTTGGCTCTTTAAAGGATGGGCTGATACTAACCATGATGGGGTACCAGAGGCTGCTGCTGGCCAGAGGGCCTATCATGGGGCCAAGGTCAGAGTCAGCATGGAATGCTGGGAATGCTGGAGAATCATCAAAACTGACCTTGAAAACCTCCTGCAAAGTCCAGTAGATACAGCTATGAGATGGGCCCTCTCAGTGATAGAGCAGCAGGAGGTAGGCAGGCTGGGATGACCAGGGACGACCCAGGCGTTTCGGCCCCCATGAGAGCAGAGGCTTAAGGCCAAAGTCCCCACGGCCCCAGACCCAGCCAGCTCCCCTTTTGCAGCCCCGGAGCTTCTCGGGCTATGGTGGCACGTTCCTGTAGACTGAGTCATGGGGGTCGCTTCCTGTGCAGACACAAAGGGACCGCCTCCAGGGACTGCCCCACTCCAGCCACTGGACTGGCCACAGACCCACGCAGCCAGACAGCAGACGACATCATAACCACAGCGGTGGGCTGGCCCGCCGGGTGACATCACAGGCCCCAGAGAGCTCCAACATATGCTACCAGTTGAGAGAGGGGAAGCAGCGTCATGGGGCCTCCAAGGCCAGCCACTGCTGTTCTTCTGGAACCCTCTGGAGATTCTTCCCAGCAGCTTCTTAGATGAATCGTCGATTTACAGCTTGGATTGCAGAGGCATAAGAATTATTACTAAAAGCAGACCAGCCAAAGGAGAGAAATGGAATCATAGTAAACCTCAGTATGCAGAGAGAGACACTCACATCGTTCAGAGTGTTTCCACCTTTCTACTTTGAGTTTTTACAAACATAGTTCTACAGAATATAATTATTTACACATTTAAAAAACAAAAATGGCACATATGATAGGTACTGTTTTGTAGCTTACTTTAAACAAACTTTTAAATCAGATGTGGGCACTTACTGCATCATTAATTATTCTGCTAAGTAATTTTTAATCACGGGGCTTCCCTGGTGGCTCAGCCAGTGAAGAATCCGTGTATTACTCTCGTACTGAACCTAGCACTAGTATTCCTCCAGAACTGAATCTAGTACTACTATTACTCTGAATCTTGCAGTATTGGAGGGAGGCTCAGCTCTGAAATCTTGAGTAAAAATCATATACAGCCTATACTGATCTTGAAAATCTCCTATAAATGTCCAGTTGCTACAGTTGTATAGAATGTGTGTGGTGTGGCATGTGTTAGTCATTTAGCCATGTCTGACTCTTTGTGACCCATGGAATGTAGCCTTCCAGGCTCCTCAGTCCAAGGAATTCTCCAGGCAAGAATATGGAGTGGGTTGCCATTCCCTTTTCCAGGAGATCTTTGCAACCCAGGGATTGAACCTGGGTTTCCTGCATTGCACACAGATTCTTTAGCGTCTGGGCCACCAGGGAAGCCCATAGTTGTATAGAATATGACCTTTCAAAGCTAAACTTTTACTCTGATGTTGGAGCAGATCCTTGTTTTTTTGTTTTTAGTTTTTTTCTGGTTGAACATGAAAGAGAAATAGATGGCTCGTAGTTATAGGCATTTGATTCAAAACATTTCTCTATTTTCATCATACCAATATTATTACTAACTACTTAGTGCATAGAGCTGACTACCCACAAGTTAAATGCAAACATGACCCAGTTTCACCATTTTGGACCTTCCTCAGCCTCAGTTTGGAGTAGGAAATGGCAACCCACTCCAGTATCCTTGCCTGGGGTATCCCGTGGACAGTGGAGACTGGCATGGGGTCGCAAAGAGTCAGCCACGACTGAGTGACTGAACAACCTCTTTTACCTCCTCACTAAGGACCAAGGAGATCTGAGGGTTGGAACAGTCCCACCACAGAGACCATGCTCTATAGCATCATAGCTGCACAGAAGATCAGCGCTTGAAGGGGCGTCCTGGATCGTCTCATCCCCCTCTGCCATTTTCCAGTTGGAACTGAAGCTGGAGGAGAGGAAGGGGCCCCCCACTAGGTCAGCAGCAGCTGGGCTACATGCTATCAGGGCCCTCAAGTAGCTTTTCACATGGTCCTTGAGTGGCCCGGTGGGGTCACCGGACTCCCACTCCTGGATTCTTTTATATAAACACGACTGTCTTGGGAGTGTCCACAGGCTATGGGTATTGATTAACTTATCTGATCGCCACAGCAACTCAGGTACGTATGGAGAACAATGCTCATCTGCCTTTTACAACCAGGAAACTCGGGCTCGGAAGGGTTGGGTGACTTGTCCACCATCACAGAGCTGGTCCCTGGGGTTTCCTTGGGTCATTCATCTGATACCAACTCCAGGGCGTTTTGGCACACTTCCTCTCACCCACTGTGTCACGCTGTGTTTCATAAGATGATGGAGAAATAGAGCCACTTCTCTGGAAGTAGTTAGGGCAGTACCTTCTGGGTCCCACAGTGGATTAGAATATAGGGGCTCCTAATTCCAGGGCCAAGTTCTGGGTGCCCTGCTCATCCATATAGAGTGCTTATGCTACTTAGAAGAAGGTGCTCCACTCTGGGGAGGCCCCTGTCAGTTCACGGCCTGGTGACAGACAAGAGATGGATTTCAGCCACTGCCCTCTGCCTGGCAGGGGCTAAGCTGATGCTGCTGTGCAGAATGAGACTCCCCCCGCCAGATGCAAAGGCTTGTTTGCATCGCTCAACCGAGTTTTCTGCTGATGACTACAGATCTCTATCTCCCTGGCTGAACACGTACTTGTTAAGAGTCATCTTCTCCCTCCCCAGTTTGTTGTTCAAGCTTTTTAAAGATGCAGAATTTCTTCCAGCCAGGCCGCCCTCTCTTCGATCCTGCTGGGAAAACGAGAGAAAATAGTGGGTCCATCAGGTTGCTGAACATGCAAAGCTAGAAGTTTCTGCCTGAGATGTCAGTCCTTTCTGTTGCAGGCACTGAGCTCATGGGAAGTCAAGAAAGAACAGAACTGCAGAACCTCTCCCTCCTGTGGTCAGCCAGTGCCCCGGGCCAGGTGGTGTCACCTGCACCCCTGTCCTTTCCAGAATGCTCTCTGCTCTTCTTCCTGGGGAGCCCTTCTCCCTCTTTCCTGTCTCCCTTCCTGGGAAGCCAGTCTGAGCCCCTCTGGGCCCTCAAGAGCTCTCTCCTCCACCTTCCCCAGAATTTCACTCACTGTCCCGTCAGCACGGAAAGTGCTGACTGGTAGTCAGTAACTTCCCTGCCTTCATCTCCGGGTGATGAGCGGCTCAAAGGCTGGAAATGTGTCTTAATGATCTCTGTAGCTTGAAAGCCTTTGTCAGTGATCTCATGTCCTCAAACTTCCCAATTTTTTTGTGTTAACTTTTTTCTTTAATGAGAATCAATGGCTCAAGCTTCCAACCCTCAGATTTCAGGAAGTCCACTGCCCTCCCTCGAACAATGTGTCTGAAAGTGGCCTAGGGACTCACTTCCAATTACCTAGACGATGAGCCACCTAGACCTGGGGTTCTCCTCCTGGTCTGAGGGACCACACCCAAGCTGGGTTACATTCTAGACTTGGTCTTCTGGCCCTGGCAGCTGTTGTCTGGGCAACCAGATTCCCATGGTCCTCAAGCTCTCCAAGCCCTGGGCAGCTGGTTGCCTAGACAACAGCTGTAAACCACTGGCATCTGAAAGCAGACCTCCTGGCCATTGGCAGCTTGTGCAGTCCCCCACCAATGAGAGTGCTTTCTCTCCAAGACGCGGCCACCTCCTTGGGAGCCAGAGCACCCTGCCGCCTTGGCCCCTGCCTCTCTGGGGTGATAGGAGGCTTGGGCTCCTGTGGCTTCTCCTCTTGCCAACCCAGGCTGAGAGGTTTCTCTGAGGCAAGAAAGCCAATCCATGTCCGTGACCTGTGGCCTTCATCCCCAACTCCAACGACGCCCGAGCAGTGGCCCAACGTGTAGAGCCTGGAGGCTCCCCCTGCTGCAACACCGACACGCGTAGGCACACACATACGGACACGCACATGCACACACATGTACACACACGTGCTCACGCTTGCTCTCACTCCCAAGTGTGGTCCTCTGACCCCCTGCCCCTCACTCAGCCTGCTTTTCTGCACCTCCTTCCCACAATGCCCTCCTCTCCTTGGCACCTCCCCACCTTCTTCACATGAGAACGCCACCTGCCTGCCTGACAGACTCGCCCTAAAGGCTGGGGTCGTGAACACCACCCACACAGATCAGGAACAACTCAATACAGGACCCTGGATATTTGGGCTTCTCGGCCATCACACCCTGGGCCCTCTTTTTCTAGCCTCTCCCAGGCTTACCGCCCATTCGCTCACCCATGGGACTCTTCTGATATCTCCCTCTTCTCCTCTTTCCTGACTCTGGCCTCTCTCCCCCTGCCCACCAGAAAAGATCTGGAGTTCTTCTTACAGTATCAGGTGAGTCATCTTTACCCTCTCTGCGTCCACGTCCTGGGGCGAGGGGTGGGGGGGGAGAGGTCTGTGCTTGTCCTGATCCAAAAGGCCCTCTATGGCTTTTTTTTCTAAACCAAAGTGTCACCCAGCATCATCAGCTACATTATCCCTTCCGTCTTCTCTTTCTATTTTCTTTCATTTGGCTGTGCCACAGCATACAGGATCTTAGTTCCCCTACCAGGGATGGAACCTGTGCCTCCTGCAATGGAAGCGCAGAGTTTTACCCACCGGACCACCAGGGAAGTCCCCCTTCCATCTTTTCCACCTTTAGCTCTTGTTCATCAGAACAGTTCAGAGGCTTTGCAGGAGCCCCTCGGTTGCCACCCTGCCCCTCGCTGGGCACCTGCCCCTCCCCGGGCACGTGCCCCCAGCCACACAGGCAGGGCCCCGGGGCCCGTGGTGGTGCCTGTTGGTCATGGGTTCTGCAGCTTTGGCCTTTCACACTGGCACAGTGGGGATTCGTGAGCAAACGCTGTTTCTTTATGTGTTTGGAGGGGAGAGTGGATACATAGGGTGGGGTTGGAAGTCATGTGAATGCGTGTTATATGTGTGTGTGTGGGCATGTGTGAGCACGTGTGACAGGACTGGAGACTGTGTGCATGCTCGTGCTCCCTCGTGCTCGTCCCGGAAGTGGTGTGCGTGTGAACACATGACCATCTGTGCTCTGGGCTGGAGGTGGTGTGTGTGTGCTCACGTTCGCCCGAGATGGAGGTCAGCGGGCAGGCTGGGAGACATTTGTATATGATTTGAGATTTCCCAGGCCACCTCTTGCCAAGTGGTTTCCTCTGAAGCTCAGAGTCAGCCCATATGGCCTGGGATGGAAAATACCAGTGTCAGCGGCCAGGCCCTGACTCATTCTGAAAGCCCGCAGGCCTGCTGCTGGCGGCTGGGAGCCCTGCCCTCCGGCCGGCTGGCCCCTGCCTCCAGGTGGTGCCTCTGAGGACCCAGGTTCCCTCCCCAAGGTTCGGAGGGCCTTGAAAACCCTTCACTCCCTCCATCACCGGACTCCCTCCCTCGGCCCGGCTCCCCTCCCCAGAACAGAGCTCCATCAGACACCTCTGCACTCTGCGTTCAAAATGCCCCCAACCGGAGCCTTCCCAGGAGGGCCTGGAGTGTCAGCGAAGCCCCACAGGTCCTGGTGGCCACGTCGGCAGGGCACAGCATCACCTCTGCTGAGGCGGGGCCCCTGAGACTGCGTCCAGCAGAGAAACCATAGGAACACCCACCTTTTCATACCAGACCATCATCCTGTCCAAGACCCCTCCGCTGCTCCTGATCCTTGCCCCCACCCTGCGGTGAGAGTCCCCGGCGGCAGCTGGGGACCTGGGGTGAGGCTGGGGGGTGTTTGAGAGCACGCTGAGTCAGCACAGCAGGTGGCCACTCAGACCCGGACATCCTGATGCAGCGAAAGGCAGCTCCCGGGTGGCCACATCAAAGGGCCCCAGGGTGGGGCCACCCTCTGTGCTGGGAGCTGCACCCCACATGCAGGGTGTCGTCCTGAGTGGAGGCCACCCTGTAATTTCACAGGGTGTACCTTCTGCTGCTCCGGGGAGGATCTGTTCTGATATTCAGCTGGAGTGGATCGGAACCACCATGCTGGTGATGTATATGTAGATGCCCAGCGAGCCGAAAGGCTGATTCACTGGCCCTGCTGTCATTGAATATTCTCCCTTGGGGGAGCGGCAGGGCGAGGGGGGAGTCCCTTCCCCCCACCACTTGTCTACCACCCCCTACGATTGCTTATGCATTTGGAGCTTCACTGTCATTCAGACACCCAAAAAGCCTCCCAGGCCAGCAAATTTCTTCTGACTGAACTACAGCGTCTACTTCCGCCTCTAGTCCCCTCTTCCTTCCTGGTATTAATAGATGGTGAACAGAGCCAAATGGAAATGTCACGCAGCCTTGTCTTCCCAAATCCTCTCCTAGCTCCCCTGTTTCTCTGCAATCTAATCCCTCCCTCCCGTGTCGGCTCCTGATTTCTACATAAAGCCTCAGCTGCTGCTCCGGGTCCCAGGATGCTCTCTCTGAAATGACCAGCGCAAACCAGCATGGACCTACACACCGCTTGGGAGGACGCTGCCTCGGGGAAACAGAGCTGGACCCAGGGAGCATAACTGCTCTGCTTACAGGCTGTGTTATCATCGCTGGAAAAACCCGCAGACAGGAACCTTGTTACCGCCGGAGGAACGTTCTGATTATTGTGACAGTGGGTTCTGAATTTTACTCTCTCCAAAAGAAATTTAAAAGTCCAATTTAAAACTTATTTTGAGGTCCACTTTTTTGCCAGATAACAGAAAATGACACAATGTAGTCATTCCTTGACAAATTGAGTTCCTGACACTACCTGTGGGGACTCTGTGGGATGAACAGGCAGGACCAGACATTCCCGGCCTCCTCTCCCACCAGCTGTTGCCTGATTCCTGGATCTCTGGATGTTGACGGGGACTGGATGCCTGGTCCATGTCCTCAGCTGTCCCCCAATGATGCCTATGTGTGCATGCTCAGTCACTAAGTTGTATCTGACTCTTTGCGACCCTCGGACTGTAGCCCACCAGGCTCCTCTGTCCATGGGATTTTTCAGGAAGAATCCTGGAGTGGGTTACCATTTCCTCCTCCAGAGGGTCTTCCCAGGGATTGCGTTGGCCGGCAGATTCTTTACCACTCAGCCACCTGGGAAGCACCTAATGATGCCCACAGGATGTAAAAGTTGTCTTCCAGAGTTTGGTCTTTGGGAGCCGAGGTCTCAGGAAAACAGAGGTGGGGCAGTCTTTGCTCCAGGTGAGAGAGGCAAATCTGGACAACTCAGCCCTCTGGCCCCCACCTGCCGTTCTTGTTACAAGAAATGAAACAATCAATCAATTGATTAGACGTTGCATATTTTTTTTAGTTATTGTACATTTGAGAAGGTCTGGCCTTAGTATATAGAAGCTACTACTTGGTATGTAGTAGAAATACGGGCTTTGGAGAAAACAGACGTGGATTTGTAAATCAAAGTGTGAATGAGTGACACACAAGAATTCAAATGTGACCTGAACTCACTCTTGACTGGTGTGAGACCTCGGTGTTAAAAAGTCAATTTCAGTACAGTTACATTTAGGATATACTTATATACAAATGCTGTACAATCTCATTTTCAGGGTTGTGTAATACTCTATCTTAAGATTCTGTTTCTAGTTCTATTTCATATTGTATGTTGGACATCCACAGAATTTCTAATGTTTTGACTAATAAAAAATTCTTCCTAATGAAAGAGAGACACATTTAGTAGAAGGTCTCTATTTTGTTTTTTCTCTTAAGATGTTCATTGTTTTGTTTTTTTTAATTGTAAAAGTCACACAAATTTGCCATGGGAAGTTTTACAAATGTAAAAATTATGTAAATAGAAACTTTAAAGTCACCCACAATCCCCTCAGAAATGCCAGAAACAATCATTGTAAATATTTTGACATATTTTCTTCTGACCTTTTGTATCTGTGTGTGGGTATGTGTAGATTTACATAATTATGCTAGTATTTTACATACACTTTGCATCACTTTTTGCTTTCTGTTTCTTTGTTTTCTTATGTCTACTGTTAGACCATGAGTTCTTTGAATTTCCCACTAAGATATCTGTGAAGACATCAAAGAACAAAATGAAACAGAAACTTAAATTTTTTAAAAAATCTTTTTAGCATATCATGTCTTGGTGCTGTGTTTAATATATCTTATATTATCTCTCTTCACAGCAGCCGTAGATGGGAGGCACTATTTTTGTCCTATTTTGCAGATCAGGAAACTAAGATTTAGACAGGTGAGTAATGTGTACAAGGTAACAGATTGTAAGTTGTGAAAACAAGACTGAATCAATGTCTATGATCCCACACCACACCATTCACTCATTCACTCTACAAATGATGAGTACTTCTCTTGCCAGGCATTGCTCTAGAAGAGCTCAATGATCAGAACAGGTGAAAAGAAATGCCCTCTTTGGGTTACTTTCTATTGGAGTTCAGTGGGTTAAAAACAGATGATGAGTAAAAGAAATATAAACATCATACAGTAAAATAAATGGTTATGAGTCCTGTGAAGAATAACAGGGAAGGAAGAGGAGGTGAGGTGGAAGAGCATCACCTCCTGAAACAGAGCGCTTAGGACAGACCTCACCGAGACAGTGTATTTGAGCAAAGTCTTGACGGAGGTCAAGAAGGGCATCTGGGGAAGAATGTCCCCCAGAGAGAGAAGCACATGCAAAGTGCCCAAGTCCAAAGGTACTTGAACTATGAGCAGGAGCGGGTGTGGGAGGAGATAAGACTTGAGATTTGAGTCATGGGGTCCAGTCGCTCTTGCAAACCAGTGTTAAGATGCTGGCTTTTCCTTTAGATGAGATGGGAAGGCATGAGAAGGCTGGAGAATGACACGCTTCAGCTTGTATTATAAAAGAATTCTTTTGGCTTTTGTGTGGAGAAAAGACTATACAAGTGAACAGGAATTTAAAAGAGAAGAGTTAAAACTATACTCAACATTTTGCAATACACTGTAAGGGAAAAGAATCTGCAAAAGAAAAAGTGGGTTTAGGTGACTCAGGCAGTAAAGAATCTGCCTGCAATGGGGGAGACATGGGTTTGATCCCTGGGTCAGAAAGATCCCTGGAGAAGGGAATGGTTAACCACTCTAGTATTCTTGCCTGGACAACCCCACAGCCTTGTGGGTTACTGTCCGAGAGATGCAGATGGAATTGGACACAAAGAATTGGATGCACTGAGTAAGTAACACACACACTATAAGGGAAAACAATCTGCAAAAGAAAAAAGTATATATATACACATTTATGTATAAGCGAATCATTATGCTGCATACCTGAAACTAACATGATATTGTAAATCAACTATACTCTGGTTAAAAACTTTTTTTTTTTTAAGCATTAAGAAGCTATTGCCACATCCAATGGAGGGGTGTAGACCTAGGTGATAGAAGGCAAGGCGAGAGCGGTCAGAGTCCAGATCCACTTTGGAGGAGGCAGAGAGCACATAAGAGTGGGTGTCTGAGAGTTACTCCAGAGGATGTTCAAAGCTTTCAGGTTACATGAGGTCACCTGGGAGGTGTCATAGAGAAGAAAGACTCCAGAGAACCGAGCCTAGGGCCATTAACAAGAAGTTGAAAAGAAACTAAGAAAGCCGTGGTGGTGAGATGGGAAAGTAGTCTCTTTGGAGAGTCTGACTTGACTCTCAAGCAAACTGAGTCAGGCAAATGGCCGAAGTCTGATCTGCATTAGTTTATCACAGTCTCACCCCTCATCTTCTCCCCAGTTTACGGCAGCGGGAAGTGGAAGCTCAGAGAGAAGAGAAGAATGATCCCAGGTATCGGATGAGGATGGAAAGAAGCTTAGATCGAAACCTTTCTCTGGGGATGCGGTGGGCAGCCGTCTTGGGCCAGCTGTGTCCTGCACCTGGGCATCAGACTGCCCTCTGCCTCTCTCTTTCTACCCTAGCCCTCGACTGTGACAGAAAGACACTTGATCAAGCCTCCTCCCTCCAAGGATGAGATAGTTCTGAGCTGTGTTCCACACCGTCTCCCAGAGCTCCCCAGTGGGGATGGGGCCTCGTTACCTGGTCACCACTGAGGGTTGATGATGTTTCTTACCATCCCTGCAGCATCGCTTGACCATTCTCTTAGTGGGATTCCCCAGATTGCCTCCCAATACTTCCCTTACCCTTGAATTCTCATCTCAGGAGCTTCTTCTGAAGAAACTCAAATGTGGACTCATCCGTACTGTGGACAAAGAGAGTTACCTGTCATTTCAGTCAACAAAGTAAAATGTTGAGGCCGTAAAGTCATCAGCCATTGCAACTGTCCCCCACCCCGTCCCTCAGTGGTGTACCTTGAGGGGATTCAGGGTGGAAAAAAACAGGATGCTGGCGCTAGATAGTTAAGGTGCATATCAAAAGAATAATTTAATTTAGTCCAGACACTTGCATCTTCTCATACATAGAAAAGTGTCAATTCATTAACTTAAGATGTCTGTTTTTTCTTTAATTAGATTACTATCTTTGCTGTTTGACCACCTGAGTTTTTTTTTTTCTTTTTCTTTTGGAAGAAACTCCTATATATCCTGGCTCCTCCCTTACCTCTTCAGAGCAGCCCCTCCAAGAGGCTGTATCTTGGGCTACAGTGCTCAGTAAGTCTGCCAAGCAAAATATTAATTTTCAACTTCTAGGTTGTGCATTTTTATTCAGTTGACAGCATGATGAACAAGGACTCACAGCCTGGGGAGGAAAACAGATCATCTCAGAGGCCCTGCTGTGTCTGCAGTCAGGGGCCTGGGGGTGGGGTCCCTACGCACATGGAGCCTGTGTGTGAGACACGTGAATGAGGGCACACATCCTCGTGTACACGTGGGTGGCTGTCCATGTCTCTGGGCAAGCTCATGAGCTAAAAATAGGGAAGGAAAATGTAAGCAGCTTCTTATGTAAATATTGGGCAACTGAATAATTTTCTTTTGTTTCTAGTCATTTCAGTCTCTGAAACTTTGCTGCTCTTTCCCTTGGATTGAGGGTGGGAGTGGAGGTGGGGGAAAATGAGGTTATTTTGGTCCTGGGGAATTCAGGGTCCCTCACTCAATGCATGTATCCCCTTTCTCTCCCACCCACTTGAGCCTCCAAAGGAAAGATCTACTGAAGAGACGAGGTTCCTGTTACCTTGGCAAAGGATGATGCCAAGGGGATGCCTCTGCTCGTCTGGATAGCAGACAATCCACAGAGAGACACAGGCTCAGGCAGTTGCTGCCCCTGGCCGTTCCACCCTGTTATCCCAGCTCCAGAGAAAAGGAGAGGCAGGTACCTGAGTTGAAACAGTTCTAGATTTGACGGTGGAAGCAGAGATTTGCAGTTCACTTCCATTTGTGACAAAGTTAAATCATTCAACCCTTCTGAGTCTAGGAAAGGGAATGACAGGAGCCTGCCTCCCAATCTTCAGGGTGGCTGTGAGTCTCAGATGTGTGTAGGAGCCAGTGAAGAACATCTGAAAAACCAGGTTTTGGAACCAGACAGGTTCAAATCTTGACTCTGCCCTTCCTGTGACCTTGGGGAATAAATGAATCTCTCTGACTCTGTTTTCACATGTGTGAACATACTTTTAGGTGAATGTTTAAATAAATACAGTTGACCCTTGAACAACATGGGTTTGGACTGCATAGACCCATTTACACACAGATTTTTTTTTTCAATAAATATATTGGAGATTGTTTTGGAAATTTGAGAAAATTTGGAAAAAATGCAAAATACACAAGCAGCCTAAAAATATCTAAAAATTAAGAAAAAATTAGACATGTCATGAATGCCTAAAATATATGTAGGTACTATACAATAGGCAGAAAGTGAATAGAAGTTTTAATATAACATTAATAATATGTTCATTTTCTTACTGTTTTATAACTTTGCTTTCAAAGAATAGCATTACTGTACAGTCTGCCTTTCTGATAACTGGAGAAACTGCCTATTAGCCTATCATCAAATGTTTCCTTTATAAAGTAATGATGTTTCCAATGCTGTATTATGAATATGACTGTAATATGGCATGGCATAAAAACTTGATGACAATGCGTTCAGTAGTGTACAGGCCAGGCTACCATGAAGTAATCAGGTCAACTGCCCTTGCCTACCATAGGGATCACATCACTGTTCTTTGTTATCAACGCGTGAATCCTTCAATATGAATGCATAAATAAGAATTTCTTTTTCAAATCATCTTTCTACTTTTGAGGTCTATTGTTAGTATATACCTACAGTGTTTTACATCATATAAGAAAATATTGATGTAGATACTGAGAGAAAATTTATCTTGCTCAACAGACAGCATAAACTTAACAGTATTGATAAACATAATACAGTCCTGTAAATGCATTTTCTCTTCCTTATGATTTTCTTATTAACATTTTCATTTCTTTAGCTTGCTTTATTATAAAGCTATAGTATATAACACATAGAACATACCAAATATGTGTTTTATGATCATTTATGCTGTTGGAAAGACTTCTGGTGAAACAACAGTCTATGTGTAGTTAAACTTGGAGGGAGAAAAAGGTTATTTATGGATTTTTGACTCTATGGGGATGCCATTCCCCAACTCCTGCATTGTTCAAGGGTCAACTGTAAAGTTACATTGTATCAGGGAACATTATGAGATCATTTAAAAACCATATTTAAATGATATCAGTTTGATTAATAGGAATAGGCTGAGTGACAACAGTGAGATGCAAAGAAATATCTTTACATTATATTATGCCATTTTGATAATGCAAACAGCGATCAAAAAACTCTGTACACACACATGGATGATTCTAGGAGCAGAGTGGACAGGGCGTATGCACATCAAGTTGGTAACACTGATTGTGCAGGGTGGTGTTGGGAGTGGGGAGGGCTCATCCAGCAAAGGGAAGGGAGTGAAAGAAACAAAAAGGGAAAAGAAGGGAAAAACAGATCCGTGAGGCCAAAGACAGGTACAATATCATCTCACTTATGGGCATGTGCCTACATGCATTAAAGTTCAGGGAAAATACAAGATTCCATTAGGTGTACAGCCTCCTGACTTAAGGGAAGGGTCTGCATGTTGTTGAGTGAAATGAAAGGAGTAACTGTAGTGAAAAGACTAATGAGTGGGACTTGAACTTTCAGTGACGCAGGGAAAGGGTGGGGAGGATGCAAAGGTTCAGATCTGGAAGGTGTGGGGTATGCTCCTGGCCTGGAAAAGCCCGGCCCAGAGTGCTGGGAGAACAAATGCAGAAGTGACAGCAGGAGTGTGATTAAGATCCCGGAAGTTTTCCTCCTTCTGTTGGCAGTGAAGTGGCCTATAGAAGTTTTGAGAAGATGGAGGAAGGATAGGCAGGAAGAGTGAGGAAAATGAAGGGGGTTTAAGAGTCCCGATCTTCTCATCCTCAACAATGAAAGAGACCGTTAGTCGCTCAATAGTGCCTGACTCTTTTCAACCCCTGGACTATAGCCCGCCAGGCTCCTCTGTCCATGGGTTTTTCCAGACAAGAATACTGGAGTGGGTTGCCATGCCCTTCTCCGGGGAATCAGCCTGACTAGGGGTTGAACCCAGGTCTCCTGCACTGCAGGCAGATTCTTCACCATCTGAGCCACTAGGGAACCTTCCTTGAAAATGAACTGGCCTTGTGCAAATTTGACGAATCAGAAGTAATAAAGAACTAAGACAAGTGAGAGAAATCTTCTAAGAGGTGATAAATGTCATACCTCTTAATTAACCCACATCTTCAGAGGACTAGAATATTCTATTTCCCAAATATTCTGAAACTGCAAAGTTCATCATTCAAACTATCTATATTCACAGACTATTTTGAAATCGACAGATGTAGAAATCCCATCTGTGCAAGCATATCCCAAGTCAGAAGAAACTTCAGAAAAGATTTATATCCCTTATCCCTTATTTTAGCAAATTCTCCAGTACCCATCTGATGCCATTCCCTCTCTCTGATGGATCAATTATCAGGCTGCTGCTGCCATCCAGGGAGGAATCTGAGATCAGAATGATAGGAAGAAGGAAAGAAATCACCAGGTTCAAGCCCCGTTTAAGAGGTAAAGTCAAGAGGATTTGTTAAGATGTTAGATAAGGAAATGAATAAATATCCCCATTTCCCTGGCATTAGCAAGTGAGCGGATGGTTGTGGCTTTATTAACATGGCGAGACTGTGGGAGGGCCAGTTTGGAAGTTCTGCCAAGAGCTCGGTTTTGAACATGTTGTCCTTGGAATGTCTATGACAGATCCACTGGACATACGCTCTCAGGTTCCCAGGAGAAGGCTTGTCTGGAATTGTCCATCGGGAGCCACTGGTACACTGCTGGTATGTCAAAGCACTGGAATGTGTGAGGTCGCAGGTGAAGCAGAGAAGAGACCCTTAAAGAGTCCCAAAACCAACTCAGCTCTTTCCAAAGAAAATACCCAGCTTCTTGAGTATCTTTGAAATAAAGGATTTGGAAGGATTTCCTCCGAGGAGCTTGGTCCCGTTAATCATCTTTGGCTGCCGGACTGATGCTCTGCCCCGGTCCTTGGCTGGCCCACGTGGTGCAAAGTTGGCTTGGAAACCGTGTCTCCTCCTGCGTTTCCCCATCCCACTTCCTCCTGCTCCCACTCCTTCCTTCCACCCCACCTCTGCCCTGACAGACAATAAGACTTTGGCCTTAGAGTTCTGGAAGGGTTCTAAGGACTTGACAAGATTTTGCCTTCTTTTTCATATACTATGGCTTTAGTTAGGGCTTCCCTGGTGGCTCAGAGGTTAAAGGGTCTGCCTGCAATGCGGGAGACCTGGGTTCCATCCCTGGGTCGGGAAGATCTCCTGGAGAAGGAAATGGCAACCCACTCCAGTATTCTTGCCTGGAGAATCCTATGGGCAGAGGAGCCTGGTGGGCTATAATCCATGGGGTGACCAAGAGTCGGACATAACTGAGCAACTTCATTTTCACTTTCCTTTCACAACTTTAGTTAGTATTAGCCACAAATGTCTATAAAAGAAGTGAGAAGGCCAGGTCTGTGGGATTTGGTTTTGGAGAAGCCTCAGTTCTAGGATGAACAGGTGCTGGAGGAGATCAGGGAGGGTAGACACAGAATAAGTGGCGGGGGGTGGGGGCTGTGCTCTGGTGTCGGGCAGGTGGAGGTCACCGCAGATGGAAGAAGGGGTATGAGCATCTATCTCAGATAGAGCGTGACTGGGGCTTTCACTGTCCTTCTCCTTGCACAGGGGCTTCCCAGCTGGTGCAAGTGGTAAAGAATCCGCCTGCCAGTGCAGGAGGCATAAGAGATGTGGGTTCGATCCCTGGGTCTGGGAAGATCCCCTGGAGGAGGTCATGGCAACCCTCTCCAGTATTCTTGTTTGGGAAACCCCATAGACAGAGGAGCCTGGTGCGCTACAGTCCATGGATCACAGAGTTGGACACAGTGAGCGACTTAGCACCTCTTTGCACAGTCTATCCTCCACACAACAGCTAATCTGGCTAAGGAGTAGGATGACTATGCCATCCCCTTGCAGTGGGCCTTTATTGTTCCTAGAACTGAACCTGAACTCTGGCCGGCACTGAGGTCCAGCTCCTGCCTAATTATCAGCGCTCATCTCCTTCCGACTTCCTCCTTTCACTATGCTTCTCCACGGGCACCTCTCTTTAGTCCTCAATCATCTCACCCTCTTCTTGCTTCTGGACTTTGCATTCTCTGTCCCCTCTGCCTGCACCACCCAGCCATCAGACCATCCCATTTCTGCCTCTTTCTAATCGTTCAGGTCACAACTCAAATGTCAGCTGCTGTAAACTTGGCAAAAGAATTTGCTGTCTCTGGGTCACTCTCTGCCACAGTATCGTGTTTTCTTTTTCCCCATCAGAGCACTTAATGGCACCTGACATTCTTTTGTTTATTTAGGTAGGTATTTATTATCTAACTGTCTTCTCAGAAGCCAGGAACCCTGTTGTTGACACTTCTGTATCTTCTGAGCAAGGAGGAGTGTCTGGCACACAATTGGCACTTAATAAGTCTCTGTTAGTGTGGTGCTAGCTGCTCAGTTATGTCCAACTCTTTGTGACCCCGTGGACTGTAACCCACCAGGCTCCTTTGAACATGGAATTCCCCAGGCAAGAATACTGAAGTGGGTTGCCATTTCCTTTTCCAGGGGATCTTCCCAACCCAGGGATTAAAGCCAGGTATCCTGCATTGCGGGTAGATTCTTTACTGTTTGAAATACCAGGGAAGCTTCAAAATCTCCTTTGATCGGCCAGTAATAGTGAGATGAGAGCTAATATGTAATAACCACTCTCCTTGTTCT